CAAAAGACATCTATTTCAAATAAATGCTGTTCTTTTGAACTTTCTGTTCATCAAAGAATCTGAAAATATATGTTTGTCAGCACTAAGGAATTTCTCCCAATAATCATACTGACAGTCTTATCCATTTATGCTAAATGCTGATAATGTGAGCTATGTGGCCTGAGGATGTTGGGTCTATATGTATGGAAAATGGGTTTGCATGGCCAAGATCACAAGCCACGAGTCATTCAAGTGAGAATAACCTCATGATCAGCACCCATAAAGATGATGTCCTCCTTATTTGATGCCCATGAAGCATTTAAAGATTATAAATGGTCTATTTTAAGTAGATAAAAATCGGTCCGAAACAAAAGCGGGATGCAAACCCTGCAGGAGGGATGCTGTGAATGCTGTCACAACGCTGCAACAGCAAAGCAGAGCTACGTGTTTCATGATGAGCTCCTCCTCCAGGATCCATCCAAGAGCTGAGGCTACCAGAGCAGCCAGGAAACCCAAAACTGTAGCTTGTACCTGAAGAGACAAATAGAGTTGAATGAAGAACAGAATTTCACCAAGCAAGCATCAAATGAGCTGGATTAACCTGTTTGAGGGCGAGATTTCCAATGATCAGGTTCCACCTCTCGCTTGAAGAGTTAATTCTGCCAACATTCACCTGCAGGACAGATGTTCAAGTGTTGAATGACTGTTTATTCATTTATTTCAAGAAATGTAAAGCATTACAAACAAAAATTCAATAAACCTTTTAATTTTGTTCAAACCACAACATTTTAGTATAACCCTGAGGGCTGTTTTCTTCACAGCAGAGTGTGAAGTTCCTCACCATGACAAACAACGTGATGAAGGGGAAAGAACACAACACAGATACAATACAGCAGAAGAAGTAGATCATATGAGATGGGATGGTGTGCAGATCAGCGTTCCCACTTCCTACACATTTCAACCAATGATTTTCCACGGCTTTCCAGTCATTCAAGAAAATTGTATAAGGATTTTTCAAATAGAGCGAATTCTAACAGATTCAATTTTTTTAGCTACGCATAACTAGAAAAATGGGTGTTTACAATAAAACACTAGTTTTTAAATATTGTTTTAATTTATGAATAATTAATACAATGGTGACCATCACACTTGAAAATTATTATTATTTATTTTTATTTTTTTTTGCAGCGATGCCATAGAAGCATTATTTGGGGTTCCCAAAAGAACCTTTCAGTGAACAGTTCTTAAAAGAACCATTTTTATAGTGTGAAGAACATTTTAATAATCAGAAAACCCCTTTTTCCACTACAAAGAACTGCAAAGCAAATGTTCTATGGATGTTAAAGGTTCTTCATGGAACCATCAATGCTAATAAAGAACCTTAATTTCCCCATTGTGGATTTCAGATGCAAAGATATATTCAATGCATTTTAATTAATAATAAAATTACTAATATTATTAATAAAGCAAAACAAGAATGCAAAAGAGATTATTTGTACTGGTGTCCCCACTAAGCTTCCTAACTAGGTTGACCAGCAAGTCTTCATTGCTTAACATCATCAGAAAGACCATTCTAGTTGACGAACTTAAGGGATAATGATACTGATAAGCCAATAATTATTTTCACATTTATTGGCCCGTAACAGATAAATGGCTTATGTTAGAATACTGTACTAAATGAGAAATGAATTAAATGCTACAAGACAAATTAATTTAGGAATCACAACATTATAAAGTACAGTATGAAAATTGGATATTCATTTTGAGATTCGCAAAAGATTACATTTAACAGTATTATTCATTGATTTATTTTTGAAAGATTATCTTTCAGTGAGCATTACGACGACAAAGGTAACTGAAAAGGAAATAGGAAAATAGGAAAAATGAGCAAGCAGAACTGAATATCCAATCTCAGCTAATACCAACAACAACAAAAAATTCTAATTCTAACAATAAATAAAACTCAAATTTTTGCAGAAAAAAGTACCAATTGTGCATCTCCAATTCTTTTTCTGGGGAACAGCATGGCTTTTGCACTGGCATAAAGCCAACATAAACCAGTCTGAAAATAAATGCTGGTCCAGTGGGGTTTCACAGGTATCTAGATGACACAGTAATCTTACAGCGGTGGAAAGTCTTGATGCCAATGTCATCTCCAGGTTCCCCTTTAGCCCCAGTAGAGGTGGGACAAGGATGAAGATCTCAGTCACATTACGGAAAACGTCCCAGTGCTGATTCATCAACACAAAGAAGAACCATTTATAGTCAGCTTAATCAAAATCCACCCTATCACCATCATCATCATCTCCCTACTCACCTGCACTACATCCAGCAACATCCCTGCCAGAACCGTCCCAAAACCAGCTAGGAGGAATGGAAACAAAATCTGGATCACCAAGGCCCGGACCGACTCGCTCGGCATCTCCTGGCCATGAATTTCCGATATGGTGCCAGAGGCCAATGCTGTCCCGTAAAACTCATTGTGAAATAAGGGATCCGACTCTGAAAATTCCTTACTGCTGAAGCTTGACGTTCTGTCGGGTCTTCTGGTCTCTGGCATACACTGATGCCCATTTTCTCCAGATGACAGGTGAGCTGAGGTCAGCTGACACTCTTTCTGCTTTTCTTCAGTGAGGGATCCCATTGTCATCACACAACTGTATCAAAAAATATATCGCACAGTCTTGAGTTTGAATTCAAAATACCAAGAGTTGTTTGTTGCAAACGAATCATGTAAATGTACTTGATATGATGATTCTTAGATCGTGTGTATAGATGAATTTTAGATCAAATTAGTATAGATGATTTGAGTGAGTTTGATGATAAAGTTGCTTGACATCTCACCTGAAAAACATGAAACACTTCAGCAAAGAATCAAGAATAACAATACAAAAATTATCCACATCAAACCAGGGTTATTTTAGTTTAACTAAAACACCTTTAGTTTAATTGTATATACTAAAATAACTAAAACTGAAATTAAAACTATGTAGACATATTTAAAAAAGCATTAAAACGACAGAAACAACAACAAAATGACTAAAACTTTAACTAAAATTAAAACAAGATACTAAAATATTAATATAAATCAAAATATTAATAAAAACTATAATAGTATCTCAATTAAGCTAAAAAAAACTGCATCAAACTGTTAATTTGTAGTAATACTGAATCTGCTTCACTGTTAAATATTGACAGCATGACATCACTTAAAACTTTAACTAGTAACATATAGTCTCGCCTGTTACAGATGCCAGCCAGCATTTTATGTTTTATTATTTCACATTTGATTGTCATCCTAATTGTAACCACTGTAGATCAAGTTTGACCTATTAAACTATTCAACCACACTTACAGACAACAGAATTGTCATTCAGTACTTGTGATTATACTTGTCTGACATACTAATATATAAGCAGAAAAATAAAATGCTTAATATTTAATAAGATGTTTACATCTGTGTTCAGATAATAACTATACTGAAAGTAAGCAGTATTATTTTTTGCTATTAATTTGTAACTTTAATTGTAAAGTCAGTGTTTACAAAAATGTACCTTACCTTTAAGCAGCAAATATATATATATATATATATACATAAAGGATACTGTATACAGTCAGTTTCCCAAATGAACATTATTCAGAAATATTTGACCAATGAATGAAATAAAACAGCTGTCTGAGTTTTCCCAGAAAAATTAAAAACAAGAAAAAAATATATAATGTTGTCCTTTTATAATAGCATGCATATCTCAATGATAAAAGCAAAGGTATCAAAAAGACACATTATTTGTAATAAAAAATGTATTCAACTGTGGATACTAAATATTGTTAACTAGCTGTAAAGGACAGGGGATCATTCAGATGATTCCTATGCAAATCATTTGTACAAATCTTCACAAACTTCAATCAGTTTTTCTCTTATATTACCACTGATACATTTTTGAAGTATAATGAATGAATTGATAGGTTTTTTTTGTTTACAGCAAAAGATAATAAAGTAATAAACTATTTCAGGTGATTTCATAAAATTAAATAAAATCCTATCAATATGTCTCAATATTGTGTTTACTCTCCTTAATACATCCTGAAGATTAATAAATAATCAATAAAAAATCAAATCCACATGCATTGTTAAATTGTATAAGGCTGCTTAATGCAAATATTTGGACATTAAGACCATATGATTAATAGCTTGTCACATCTCAGTGTCACTGAATAAACATTTCTGAACAATAAAAACATATATTATCATATTTTTATTAGAACCAATTAGGAAATGCTATTCTATATAGCACAAAAGAAAGGATAGGATACTGATCCAGGAAGATGAGTGCAAATTAGACATTTAACATAACATATGGAAACAGACAACAGCAGTTCTTCATTCAAAGAAGATAGTTGTGTGACTTGGAGAAGTGCTATTGTCACATGAGGCAGCATGAACTGCACACAGGGATTTGACTGGCATGTACTCACTAAAAAATGTTGGGTTAAAAATAATCCGAACGCCGACTCATTATTGGCCGGCTCCTCGATTCTGAATTTATATATCATGCGGTTTAAAATTACAAATACATTTTTATGTACATTACCATTCAAAAGTATGGGGTCAGTTCTTGTTTTGAAAGAAATTCATACTTTTTTCTAGCAAGGATGCAGTAAGTTGATCAAAAGTGACAGTAAAGACATGTACGATGTTGCAAAAGACATCTATTTCAAATAAATGCTGTTCTTTTGAACTTTCTGTTCATCAAAGAATCTGAAAATATATGTTTGTCAGCACTAAGGAATTTCTCCCAATAATCATACTGACAGTCTTATCCATTTATGCTAAATGCTGATAATGTGAGCTATGTGGCCTGAGGATGTTGGGTCTATATGTATGGAAAATGGGTTTGCATGGCCAAGATCACAAGCCACGAGTCATTCAAGTGAGAATAACCTCATGATCAGCACCCATAAAGATGATGTCCTCCTTATTTGATGCCCATGAAGCATTTAAAGATTATAAATGGTCTATTTTAAGTAGATAAAAATCGGTCCGAAACAAAAGCGGGATGCAAACCCTGCAGGAGGGATGCTGTGAATGCTGTCACAACGCTGCAACAGCAAAGCAGAGCTACGTGTTTCATGATGAGCTCCTCCTCCAGGATCCATCCAAGAGCTGAGGCTACCAGAGCAGCCAGGAAACCCAAAACTGTAGCTTGTACCTGAAGAGACAAATAGAGTTGAATGAAGAACAGAATTTCACCAAGCAAGCATCAAATGAGCTGGATTAACCTGTTTGAGGGCGAGATTTCCAATGATCAGGTTCCACCTCTCGCTTGAAGAGTTAATTCTGCCAACATTCACCTGCAGGACAGATGTTCAAGTGTTGAATGACTGTTTATTCATTTATTTCAAGAAATGTAAAGCATTACAAACAAAAATTCAATAAACCTTTTAATTTTGTTCAAACCACAACATTTTAGTATAACCCTGAGGGCTGTTTTCTTCACAGCAGAGTGTGAAGTTCCTCACCATGACAAACAACACGTGATGCAGGGGAAAAAACACAGACACAACACAACACTTCCCACACATTTCAACCAATGGTCTTACATTTCCGGTCATTTATGAATATTGTATAAGGATTTTTAAAGTAGAGCAAATTCAGACTTCAGTTTTGTTTGAGCCGAGTATAACTAGAAAATTGGGTATTTACTTTAAAAACTCTATGGCTTTTAAATATTGTAGTAATTTATGAATAATAAACATAATTTATTAATATATTCTACTATGTTTTTTTTTTTTTCCAGTTAAAAAATTCTGTGATGTTTCTATGTTTCTCTAACTTGGTCGATTTTGGGTTCCCAAAAGAATCAGTTCTTAAAATAACCTGTTTTTAATAGTGTAATAAACATTTTACTAATCTGAAGACACATTTAATGAATTTATATTAATAATATAACATTTTCACCATGAATGTAAAAAAGTATTTGCACTCGTGTCCCCACTAGACTTCTTAACTAGGTTAACCAGCAAGACTTCGTTGCTCATCTTCATAAGAAAGACCATTCTAGTTGACCAGATTCACAAGTTAATATTTTTAAGGATGCACCAAAATTAAAACTATGGCTGATATAACAAGTCAATAATTAATTTTTTTTTAATTGGATGATTTATTGGTTCGTTAGAATTCTACACTATTTTGCCTAAATAAATAAAAAATGCTACAAGTGATTTTGCACAGTTCAGCATTACAAAGTACAGTATGAAAATGTGATCATTTTGAAATTCACTAAAGATTACATTTGACAGTTTCAATTATTAATTTTTTTTAAAGATTAACTTTTAGCTATAGCATTATAACGGTAAAGGTAATCGAAAAAAAAAAAAGGAAATATGCGTTGTAAGAACTTAATATCCGATATCAACCAACAGCGCTAAATTAAAAAAGTTAAAATTAAACAACTCTCATATTTGCAGAAAAAACAATATAGGTATATAGACAACATAGGAATCTTACAGCGGTGGAGAGTCTTGATGCCAGTGTCATCTCCAGGTTCCCCTTCAGACCCAGAGGTGGGACAAGGATGAAGATCTCAGTCACATTACGGAAAACGTCCCAATGCTGATTCATCAACACAAAAAACAACCATTTAAAGTCAGCTTATCCAAAATCCATCATCATTTCCCTCACTCACCTGCACTACATCCAGCAACATCCCTGCCAGAACTGTCCCAAAACCAGCCAGGAAGAATGGAAACAAGATCTGCATCAACATGGCCCGGACCGACTCGCTCGGCATCTCCTGGCCATGAACTTGCGATATGGTCCCAGAGGCCAATGCTGTCCCGTAAAACTCATTGGGAAGTAAGGGATCCGACTCTGAAAATTCCTTACTGCAGAAGCTTGATGTTCTGTCGGGTCTTCTGGTCTCTGGTGTAAACTGGTGCCCATTTTCTCCGGATAAAAAGTGAGCTGAGGTCAGACACTCTTTCTGCTTTTCTTCAGTGACGGATCCCATTTTCATCACACAACAGTATCAAAACATATATTACAGTCTTGAGTTTGAATTCAAAGTACCAAGAGTTGTTTGTTGCAAACGAATCATGTGAAGGTACTTGATATAATGAATCTTAGATTGTGTGTATAGATGAATTTTAGATCAAATTAGTATAGATATCTGATGATATTGTTGCTTGACATCTCACCTGAAAAACATGAAACACTTCAAATCAAGAATAACAATACAAAAACGATCAACATTAAACCAGAGTTATTACAGTTAACTAAAACTAAAACTCATTTAGTTTAATTTTATGTACTAAAATAAATGACTAAAATTAAAGTCAAAACTTTACATGTAACAAAATGACAAAAATTAAAACAGAAGATATAAAAATAATAATGAAATCAAAATATTACTAAAAACTATAATAGTATCTCAATGATGTTAAAAAACACTGCATCAGACAGTTAATTTGTAATAATATTGAATCTACTTCACTGTTAAATATTGACAGCGTGACATCACTTAAAAGTTTAACTAGTAACATAACAGTCTCGCCTGTTACAAACGCCAGACAGCATTTTTATGATTTATTATTTCACATTTGATTTTTGATACATGAGAAAAGACATTCGTTTTTAATAGCAATATTTCTATTTTTTTAATTCATCGGAGATGATACATTTAATCAAATGCAATATTTCTCTTCTCTTTAATTTATTTAATCAAAATTATGACATTGCTTTATCATTCTTCCAAAACCACCTGTCCTCAGAACATTACTCAAAAGTTCATATACTAATATATAATATATATTGCAGCATATATATCTTAAAATATATATGGAACTAACTATATTATATCTTAAAATATAAATGTAACTAACAACATAAAAACGTAGATGTTGGACTAAATGAACATCCGGGCATTTTCGTCCTGCTTTTATTTTGAAATTCGTCCAGTAGCGTAACCGGAAGTTCGCTTTCCTGTGCAAATCATGTGATTCCCAGCACAGCAGCCCCTCCCCTCACTGTGCAGTAACCCTCAAACAGACTGACCTAATGGCAGCTCTCTGAATAGCCCAGTCTGTGTCGTTTCTATCAGGATGGCTGTGGATTCATTATCTCCTGATTGGGAGTTTGATCGCTTTGATGATGGGTCACAAAGTAAGTAACGCGTCTGACCGGAATGTTACTGGTAATTTGTTGTGTAAAAGATGCATAAATCCTGCAGCTAGCTGAGTAATGTTAGCTAGCTGTCAGGTGACCAGGGAAAGTGGCCAAGTTCAAGCACGCTGATTAGATTAGTGTGTGTGGTCTTTATTGATCTCACAAAAAATGTGATAAGGAAGTCTTTCGCTTTCATTTGAAAGTGTTCCCACATCATTGCATTGGAGGATTGAATTTCTTTGAATGCAAACATCGATTATTAAAGGGGTCATATGATGCGATTTCAAGTTTTCCTTTCTCTTTGGAGTGTTACAAGCTGATTGTGCATAGATAAGATCCCTGAAGTTGCAAAAAATGTATCCCGGTTTACAAAAAAATATTAAGCAGCACAACTATTTTCAATATTAATTATAATAATAATAATAATAAGAAATGTTTCTTAAGCATCAAATCAGCATATTAGAATGATTTCTGAAGGATCATGTGACACTGAAGACTGGAGGAATGATGCTGAAAATTCAGCTTTGCATCACAGGAATAAATTACATTTTTAAACATATTAAAGTAGAAAAAAGTTATTTTAAATATTAATGATATTTCACAATATTGCCTTCCCCCATTATTTCAGATCAAATAAATGCAGACTTGGTGTGCAAAATTCTCTTACTTAATTTAAAAAAACCATACTGACCCCAAACCATTGAGTGGATGTTTATAAAGTCAATTAATTTGCAAAAATTAACAAGCAAAATTGTTAATGGTCTCATATTAACGGTTTTGTGCTTTCTACTTTTAGGCTGAAACCAAGTTCTACAATGGCTTGTTGTATTATGGTGAAGGAGGTAAAAACTACTGTTTTGGTTTTTGCTGTTCAGTTTACAGCCCGTCTACACAAGAACCTATTAAATTCAACATGATTCCCATTTTATTTCTATAATTGTATATCTGAGTGGATATTAAACACAAACTAATACATTTTGTCCCTCCGGAATAGAATGTTTTTTGGTTTTTTTTGTTTGGAATTGCATGCATCTGTTAAACTTAAGCTTTCAATTTTGTCGTTCGACTTTAATTTAATTTAACCTGTAGCTTTTAACAATAATAAAAAAAGTATTGCGTTAGAATTATTTGTATTTTTTTGCAGTGTCAGACACTAGTGTGGTGGAGGGAGAGTCTCAGATTCAGATGGGCCGCTTCATTTCCTTCTTACAGGTTTGAAATAATGATCTTTTTGAATTGTTACTGAGAAATATATATATATATATATATATATATATTTATATATTTATTTCTGAACATTGTCTTATTTGGTTGTATGTTACAGGAGCTGTCCTGCTTTGTGTTGCACTGCTTTGAAGTGGTGGTCAACATGGTTCACCAGCTGGCTGCTTTGTACATCAGCAACAAGTGAGAAATGTAAAATATTCTCATATTATGTGGATGGTTATGTGACTGCAGTGTTGCTAATTTGTTTTGTTTTTTTATGTCACAGGAGTGCAACAAAATCATTGAGTCCACAGGTGTACACTTTCAGGTAATTTTCATTTTCTCTGTCCTCTTCATATGGTTGTTCACTGCAACCGTCTTGTAATGATGGTTTCTCTTTGTCTACAATCAGACAGTGTACGAGCATCTGGGAGAACTTCTGGTGGTCCTCATCACCCTGGATGAGATCTTGGAGAACCATGCCACACTGAAAGATCACTGGAAGATGTACAAAAGGTGAAGTGGGACCTTTTAGATGTTGAACTGTTCTGTAAAATTTAATGTTGGAACTGAAGACAAAATGAAGGCCTTTACAGTATGAAATGTGTTAAATTGCGGTTCTTGATTTCTTACCACAAATTCTTTGTTGTTGTTGTTTGAAGGCTACTCAAATCTGTCCATCATAACCCAGCTAAGTTTGCCATTCCAGAGGAGAAACTAAAACCCTTTGAGAAGCTTTTACTGAAGCTAGAGGGTCAACTGTTGGACAGCATGATTTTTCAGGTCTGAAGTGTCCCCAGACTTCCTCATTTTCTGTTTTTGTATTTTAAAACCTATTTCTGCTATGAGAAACATAGCAGTGTGGGCATCGAGGAGAGTTGAAGTCAGGTCAACTTTATGGCAATGAGCTATGACGCGATTCGGTCCTCCGCTTGAGAGGATTCCAGAGAACGCAGTCCTGTAAACTTTGGTTCTGATCACATTAGTTCCCAAGCATTTTCGTGCTAGAAATGCAATTCATTTGCTCAAAACAACACTGATTTGACCAATTGCATTAAGGCTACACTTCAACCAGGGCTGCGTTTCCCAAAAGCATCGTAAGCCTAAGTTGATAATAGCTCCATTGGTGGCAATAGGTCTACGATGCACTTAGGCTTACGATGCTTTTGGGAAACGCAGCCCAGGACAGTTTGTAATGCGCACAAATTAAAGGGTTAGTTCTCCCAAAAATGAAAATTCTGTCATTAATTACTCACCCTCATGTCGTTCCAAACCCGTAAGACCTCCGTTCACCTTCGGAACACAAATTAAGATATTTTTGGTCAAATCTGAGAGCTCTCTGACCCTCCCATAGACCGCAATGCAACTGCAATGTTCCCAGGTCACTTAAGTTAAATAAATATAACTAAAGTTTTTCTTTTTTATGCAGGCTTGTGTGGAGCAGAGGTTTGATGACCCAGGAGAAGGTGTATCGGTTTCTAAAAACAGTGCCTTTGCAGAGGAATTTGCATGCAATATCAGAACCATTTTTGCCAACGTTGAGTCAAAGCTTGGTTTGTATTTGTAATTAACCTAAATGAATTCCAAATACCATTAACGAGACATCTCGGCTGTTGCCAACAACCGTTATGATCCATTTGACTTGCAGGAGAGCCGTCAGAGATTGATCAGCGGGATAAATATACAGGCGTATGTGGCCTCTTTGTGCTGCACTTCCATATCTTCAGGACCGTGGACAAGAAGATCTACAAATCCCTGCTGGATGTGTGTAAAAAGGTGAGTACACTAACTAGTGGGAACGAGTGGATTGTATAGATCTGCTCTTTCAGTCATTATGAAATTTCCCTGCTCTCTCTTCCAGGTCCCTGCAGTGACATTAGCAGCTAATATAATCTGGTTTCAAGACACATTTCTGATAAGCAAAGTCCCTGCGGCAGCTAAACTGATGGACAAGAAGAGCATCCAGAGCATCCGCAGCAGCAGAGATGCATTCCTGCAGCAAAAGGCGCAGACACTAATGAAGTAAGACATACACGCTTCTGATATGATTCATAAATCAATTATAATTTTGCCAATTTAGTAAAATGTAATGGTCATTGTATTTGACATCATTATAAATATGTCATTTAGGGTTCCATGTATGTGTTTCTATGCAGGGACATGCAGTCCTACTATATATTTGTCACCTCCTGGATGATGAAGATGGAGTCTATATTATCAAAAGAACCGAAACCAGACAAACTGTCTGAGGATTTGAGCAACAGGTGTAATATCTTTGTGCAGGTAGAGACCGGTGTTTTCTTCTTTTCTGTTATTTTTGAGATTAAAGTGTTCTTTATAGAGTTGGAAATTCATGATTTTTTTAAATTACGTTACATTTCTAGTGCAGTGACTGCTTCATAATCAGGTGTTTGTGTTTCTGTAGGGAATCCTGTATGCTTACAGCATCAGCACCATCATCAAGACTACTATGAACATGTACATGTCCATGCAGCGGCCCATGACCAAGACCTCGGTGAAAGCCCTATGCCGATTGGTGGAGCTGTTAAAAGTAGGTCGATGAGTCATATTATTATATTCAACAGCAAGTACTTCAGTATTTATACACATATTTTTTTCAGATTTTCATTTGTGTCTTAT